GATGAGGAATAACGAAACTTTGGTGCGATCTTAGTGAGCGGTAACTAGTGCCCGCTAGCGTAGTTCGGAAGAATACGTCTAGTAAATTATTGTATTTGCTCGGAGGATTACGATATCTAAAGTACTCACGAACGGTAGAGAATATCTAAGCGAATTTATAGGAGACGTGGCGGGGAGGATTCCAGCGAGAGGGGAAATCGTGACCCTAGACCTTTCCAATCTTGTCTACAATATTTACTTTGTTAGTAATAAAATTATAGTTTTTTAATTACCTTGCTTTTAGTTAGTAAATACTCAACTCATTATTCAATATTCTGGAAGTTGATTACTTGAATTCTTGCGGAACTAGCAGTTGTGATTAGTAGGTTAATTCCCTGTGTGATTCGACTCTGGACTTGTAAACCGGATTATATTTGCAACGATCGCTTAGTCCTTTTTATAAGGCATAGTTGGGCGTGATCAAATTTTGGCTCCATTGTCGAAAAATTAACGGTGTTATTAATTACAACTAGAAGAATTGTTAGGATTATTAGTTAATCAATTTTCTTCATTTTAAATTCATTATACTGAAATTCTAACGTTTGCAGTCATGTGTGTTACAAGTGCATGCCTAGAAACTCCTCAAGAACTGGTGAATTGTACGAAGCATTACCGAACCCTGAGAAAGATTTCAATGCACTAAATCGAGCAAACAAGAAAGACAAACGACAACAAAACTCAACAGAACGAATCGAACTAGACATGTGTGACGTAATAGACAACCCAAACAATAGAAACAATGTGAATGACCCGAACAATCAGGGTGTGGCACCTCTTGTGCCAGAAATAGCCTTGTATAATTGGGCGCAACCCACAGCTGAAAACCTGGCAACCGCAATTGCAGTCCCTCCGATACAAGCGGAATCATTTCAAATTATATATAATATGCTGCATTTGTTGCAGAACAAGGGACTGTTCTCGGGGTCTTACATTGAAGATCCACAACAACATCTGAAAAATTTTCTGTCTATTTGTGTCACGCAAAGGCAACCGAATGTGACACCTAAAGTAATAAGACTGTTGTTATTTCCATTTTTAGTGATGGGAGAGGCTCAGACTTGGATCAATTCGCTCCCCATAAACTCCATCACTATTTGGGAGAAATTTGTCAAGCAGTTTTTTAACAAATTATACCCACCCAATAAGATAGCCAAGCAAGTTGATGAGATATTGAGCTTCAGCTAGAAACCAGCTGAACACTGCAAGAAACATGGGAGAGATTCAAGGGGATGTTGGTCAAGTGTCCCCACCTTAGCATTCCTGATCAGATGTTGGGCAAAGGTTCTGCATGGGATTGGCAAACTGCTTGAAGGCCAATGTTGATACTTCAGCAAGTGGAGCATTTTTTAGCAAATCATTCAGAGAATGTAAGGTCTTACTTGATAAAATGGCTCAAAACTCAAGATGGATGACAAGAGACTCTACAATCACTCATGTAGTTCACTCAGTAGCTATAGACCCAAACAACTCCATGGCTAAGAATATGGCTACTATGATGGCGCAATTGAGTATCCTAACCAAAAACGTTGATGAGTCAGGCCAGAAGTATGTGCACATAGTTGACACGACGAATGGAGGATTATGCATACCATACATTAATCAGCCATATGTGTACTAGTGGAGTGGTGAAAGTAACAACCAGAACTATCAAGAGAATGTGAATTATGTGTGCAACTATGGAGGCCAGAGGCAAGGTGGTCAGAATTGGGGGCAGCAGAATCAGCAGGATAACCTGCACAACAGTAGTACAATAACAACAACAATTCTGGAGCTATGTGACCACAGGGTCAAGTTGTGCCTTATCAAAGGCAACAAGGGGACAATCAGCAAACTTAACAACTAGTTTATCAACAACCTCAATAGCAACAGATAGTGCGACAAGATGATAGGTTATTTGAATTAAAGGAATGTTGCAATAACTCATTGGGTCCAGCGGGAAAATGGAAGAAAAGGTCCACCAGATGCAAGAAAAAGTAGTATCACATGACTCATCTGTCAAGGGCATTGAGATTCAACTAGAGAAAATATCCATGACCCTTAATAATCGTCCTCAAGGGACATTACCTACAGACACACATGTTAACCCAAAACAGCAGGGCCCAAAATAGCTGATGGTTGTGAGTCTGAGAAATGGTAGAGATCTTGATCTAGAGCAAGAAATTGCTCACGAAAGTCGACCAACTGAGATACTCATGCCAGTACCAATTGAGATAGATGAGTCAACTGAGCTAACAAAAGTAAGAGTACAACCAGCTCAGGAGGAACTAAGCAAAGAGAAAGAGGTTACAAAGGAGACTGAGAAAGTGCAAGAGAGGGCATTAGAAAAAGTGCTTGAGCAGGATCTAACTCAAGTCACACGAAAGAAGCGACCGCCAGCACCCTTCCCGCAGAGGTTGGCCAAATATCAAAAGGATGAGCAGTATAAGAAATTCATGGAGATGTTAAAGCAGATTCATGTGAACATTCCTCTAATTGATGCTTTGAGGGAGATGCCCGGGTTATGCAAAAATGATGAAGGACTTGATGTCTCGCAAGTTCGATTTTCAAGACTTGGCAACTGTGACATTGACTCATGCATGTAGTGCTGTTGTGACAAGACCTATAGCATAGAAGCTATTCGAGACCCTGGAAGCTTCATAATTCCATGCACCATAGGTAGCTATGCATTCGCCAAAGCATTGTGTGATTTGGGGGCGAGAATAAATCGGATGCCATTGGCTATCTATAAAAAGTTAGGCATTGGAAGAGTAAGGCCCACATCCATGTTACTACAGCTCGCTGACCGAACGGTGAAAAGGCCATCAGGTATACTTGACGATGTACTTGTGCAAGTTGGAAAGTTTGTTTTTCCAGCAGATTTTGTCATTCTGGATTAGCAGGTTGATGAGGAGATTCCCATAATTTTGGGAAGACAATTCTTGGCCACAGGAAGAGCTCTGATTGATTGTGAAACTGAAAGCTGAAAATGAGGCTAAATAACGAAAAAATAACATTTAATGTGCAAAATTCTATGTGGCGACCCAATGAATTTGCAAATTGCTCTTTGATAATTGCTCTTTGATAAAAGGTGTGGATGTGATCATGGAGGAAGATGATGAGGCACTTAATGCAAAAGACCCTCTAGCAGCCTGCCTCATGAACTTAGAAGAGGTAAATGGTGAGGACTTGGCGGAGTGGGTATTGGATCTTGAAGGCCAAGGGTACTGGAAAAGAGAGCTTGAATTCGAGTCTTTACAGAGTCTTTACACTTAGAAGAAAGAAAGACCCCTCCAGCTAAGCCATCGATCGAAGAGCCACCACAGTTGGAGCAACCACTGCCATCTCACCTCAGGTATGCTTTCTTGGGACCTAACTTGACTTTACCTGTTATTATCTCATCTGGTTTGTTAGATGAGTAGGTAGACAACTTTTGCAGGTGTTAATAGAGTGCAAGACTACAATTGGTTGGACCATTGCAGATATTAAGAGGATTATCCTGGCCTTCTGCAAACATAAGACTCTATTGGAAGATGGGCACAAACCTTCCAAAGAACATCAAAGAAGGCTGAACCCCAATATAAAAGAAGTCGTGATGAAGGAAGTGATCAAGTGGTTAGATGCGAGAATCATTTTTCCCATCTCCGATAGTAATTGGGTTAGCCCAGTTCAGTGTGTGCCAAAGAAAGGTGGAATGACTGCGGTGCAAAACGAGAACAATGAGTTGATCTCAACAAGAACAGTTGCGGGATGGCGAATTTGTGTGGACTACAGAAGATTGAACAAGGCCACCCGAAAAGACCATTTTCCCTTGCCGTTCATTGATCAGATGTTAGATAGATTGGCAGGGAGTTCCCACTTTTGCTTCTTGGATAGATACTCAGGGTATAATCAGATCTCTATTGCCCCAGATGATAGAGAGAAAACATCATTCACATGTCCATATGGCATCTTCGCTTTCCGGAGAATTCCATTTGGCCTATGCAATGCACCCGCCACACTACTAGAAATCCGGTAAAAACCGACCAAAAAAACCGACCAACTTTGGTCGGTAATGGCCAATAACCGTCCAAAATACGACCATTTACGTGTGGACGGTATTTTAGGGGTCGGAAAGGCATACCGACCAACGTTGGTCGGAAATTACCGACTAACTTTGGTCAGTCAATTAAATTCAAAAAAAAATTGCAAAAAAAACCGACCAAAGTTGGTCGGTATTTTAATTATGTAATCAAAAGATTCACCATCTAGGAATCGAACCAGGGTTTGTATTATGGCAGGATTCTATTCTACCACTAAACCATTTGTGTATTTTGTTTTAAAACTGTCTTTTATTTGATTTATACTCTTTAATTGTATTTTCGCACGAAAATAACCGACCAAAGTTGGTCGGTTTTATTAAAAAATAAAATTACTGACCAAAGTTGGTCGATTTTTTAAAATGACCGGCTGAATTAACCGACCAACTTTGGGCGGTTTTTTTAATATTAATTTTTATTTATTTTAATTGAAAAACCGATAAAAGTTGGTCGGTTTCTTGAAAAATAAATTTTGCGGGACTCAAAAATAGTTTCCCGCATTTTTGCGCCAAAGAAAACCGACCAAAGTTAGTCGGTTTCGTAAAAAAAAAAATTAAAAATAAAATATTTTGAAAAACCAACCAACTTTGGTCAGTTTTTTGGCCGGTTTTTTGACCGACCAAAGTTGGTTGGTCGACCTTGGCCGGTTTTTGCCGAATTTCTAGTAGTGCCACATTCTAAAGGTGCATGATGACCATTTTCACAGATATGGTAGAGGACATGATGGAAGTTTTCATGGATGATTTCTCAGTGGTGGGAAACTCGTTCGATGACTACCTTAGGAATCTGAAAAGAGTGCTGAAGAGATGTATATAGACTAATCTGGTGCTAAAATGGAAAAAATGTCATTTCATGGTACATGAAGATATAGTCTTGGGGCACCTAGTGTCAAGTAAGGGCATTGAGATGGATCGTGCCAAGGTTGATGTAATAGAGAAGTTGCCACCACCCACTCCTGTCAAGGCAATAAGAAGTTTCCTTGGCCACGCCGGTTTCTACAGGCGGTTTATAAAAGATTTTTCTAAGATTCCTAACCCCTTGTGTAAATTGCTTGAAAAAGATCACCCCTTTGTGTTTTCTGATGACTATAGGGTAGCTTTTGAGGAATTGAAGAAGAGGTTGGGGACTGCACCAATTATAGTGGCACCTAACTGGGAGCAACCTTTTGAGCTGATGTGTGATGAAAGTGAGTATGCTGTGGGAGCAGTCCTTGGGCAGCGAAAAGATAAAGCCATGCATCTAATCTACTATACAAGTAGAACCATGAGTGGTGCCCAACTAAATTACACAGTGATCGAGAAGGAGATGTTAGCAGTGGTGTTCGTATTTGACAAATTCAGGTCATACCTAATAGGCTCGAAGGTAATTGTTTATACTGATCATGCTACTCTCAGGTACCTAATTGAGAAGGAGTCAAAGTAGCGCCTGATTCGATGGGTGCTACTACTGCAAGAATTTGACATGGAAATCTGTGACTGAAAGGGAACAGAAAACCAAGTGGTTGATCACTTGTCTAGGCTGGAAGGAGCATAGAAGAAGGTTGAGGTGGAAGAGATTGTGGAGACTTTAACGGATGAACAATTATTGTCCACGAGCCTTGAGGTAGCGCCATGGTATGCAGACATTTCAAACTACCTGGCGAGCGGTATTGTCCCCTATGACATTTCCTCTATTCAAAAGAAAAAGTATTATTGGGATGAGCCTTATCTATTCAGGATTTGTGCTGATAACATGATCCAGAGATGTATTCCCGAGACAGACCAATCTTCTGTTTCGCAGGCTTGTCACGCATCCCCATATGGTGGCCATTTTGGGGGAGTAAGGACAGCCGCAAAAGTGTTGGAGTCGGGCTTCTACTGGCCGACATTGTTCAAAGATGCACACCTCTGGTGAAGGGTTGTGATGAATGCCAACGGACCAGGAATATTTCTCGCCGTCATGAGATGCCCATGAACCCAATTCAGGAGGTAGAAGTGTTTGATGTATGGGGAATCGATTTTATGGGGCCTTTTGTCAGCTCATATGGCAACAAGTATATATTTATAGTTGTGGACTATGTGTCAAATGGGTGAAAGTTGTGGCACTCCCTACAAATGATACAAAGGGAGTCATTGGTTTTTTGAGAAAGAATATATTCACTCGGTTTGTCCCTACAAGGGCAATAATCAGTGATGGAGGCACTCACTTCTGCAACCGAGCCTTCGCAAAGTTGTTAGAAAAATATAGGGTTCGTCACAAGGTTTCCACCCCATATCATCCACAAACAAGCGGGCAAGTGGAGGTGTCGAACAGAGAAATAAAAAGTGTGTTGACAAAGACAGTGAATGCTACGAGAACAGATTGGGCGAGAAACTTAGATGATGCACTCTTGGCCTATCGTACCACTTTTAAAACTTCAATTAGCATGTCGCCATATAAATTTGTGTTTGGGAAGCGTGTTACTTACCCGTGGAGTTAGATCATAGAGCTTTGTGGGCATTGAGGCAGCTAAATCTCGATATGAAAATAGCGGGTACAAGTAGAGTCACAGAGTTGCACGACCTTGATAGGTTTCATTACCATGCTTTTGAGAGCACAAGGCTATATAAGGAGAGAATGAAGATAATGCATGACAAAAATATTCTTGAGCGAAATTTTAAACATGGAGATGTGGTATTGCTATACAATTCGAGATTAAAGTTGTTTCCGGGCAACTTGAAGTCAAGATGGTCTGGACCATTTCGTGTGGTAGAGATGCATCCTGCCGAAGCCATAGAAATTGCATCAGAAGATGGCTCCCGCAAGTTCAAAGTTAACGGGCAAAGACTAAAACATTATCAAGGCATGTTTGAGGAAGATAAAATGATCTCCACCTTATACTTGAAAGATCTGTGATAAGTGATAGCCTGAGTCGTGCCATGGCGTTAAATCAAGCACTTCTTGGGAGGCAATCCATGGTTTTATTGTAATTCGTCGTGTCGCGACGTTAAATCAAGCATTTATTGGGAGGCAACCCAATTTTCGTATTTTCTTTATTTTACTTGTTTGATTTGGAATTGTGGAAGTATTGACATGTTTATGAATATTGCAGGAATGCGATTGTGTGAATTGTAATAAATTGGGGTGAAGAAATCATGAGAAAAGGCCAAAAGTGGCTAAATTCGAAAAGCTGAAAAAATGGCCAGCACTGGGCTCATCTAAATCCGCGCCTCGCGCGAAGGTAGACGCGGTCCCAGGCCAGCAAAATGAAAACAAAATAGTAAAGTTTGGTCATGGCACGACTGACTTCGCGAAAATTGCAAAGAAAAAAATGGACAGTTTGGCAGCATTTGCACCCGCGCATTGCACGCTTGTGGACGAGCCAGCCTTGCAACCAGCTTTCGCGGGCAGTGAACTAAGCCCATTGCGTGACTCGATGCACGATTTTTTTTTGTTTTTTCTTTATTATTTTTTCTTTCTTCGTTCGTTTTTTTTCTTTTCTTTTTAACCGCCCAGGTTTGTCCTTTTTCTTTAGTTCTTTCTCTGTTCCTCCTCCCTATTCCCATCCCACGAGTTGTCTTCTTCTGTCTTCGCCCAAACGCCCCAGCTCTCTCTCTCTTGTTCCCTTACTTGTCCCCCACTGGTAAGAATTCCCAAAACTTTTTCTTTTGTTTTCTATTTCGCCCCACCCCCACGTAACAACCCCCCTTTATCCGCCCTTAGGTTTGTTTTTGTTTTTGTTTTTTCTTTTCTTATTATGGTTTATTTTGGTAGAGTAATTGAATTTCGAATTTTGGAGCATAGTTTGCTCTAGATTTTGTTGGTTGTTGTGTATATTGAGGTGAGAAACTACAACTCCTACCACCTCACTCAAATTGGGAGGCCAAAACACATACCACTTGCATTGAAACATGATGGTAAAAATAATTGTGCATATAAGGTGTCCGAAAAATTGCCCGAATGAGAATTTTGATAGGTTTTGCGAAGTCTGAGTAGCAAGACTAATTGATTTGGTAATATGAACATCTCTTGAGTATGGAGTAGCCGTTTGGGGGTCTTTGCACTTAAATTGCATTCAACTTAGAACGAATGTCAACCCGCGGCCAACTTAGGCACGACTCGTGAGTCGTCCTACCCACTTGATCTTCAATGATTCTAAGTAACCTTGTAACAATGCAATTCAGTTGTAGTAGTCAATTATGTCGTGGTTGCACACTTACGCCTTCGGGCTAAGTGTGGGGTGCGATGTGTACCACTATGACTCAGTGTTACACATTAGACTAATGTGTGTTTTGTATCTATTGTAGGTGATATGGTCATCTCTAAAACACCAACTCGAAGCCATGGAGCCAGTGGTAGTGGTAAGCCACTCCCCAAAGAAACCACCAACTGACAAAAATGTAGCGGATAAGGGTGCTACAGAGTCACGAACAAAGGCTAGGCATGACAAGGAAAAGACTGAAACTTCTGAGGTGGACACTGAGGCCACCAATCTGAGCACTGAGCAGCCTGAGATATGATGAGGGAGTTTCTGACAGCCACTCTACTATTAATCATTTATTGTATATTTCTGTGATATTGTACAACTGGAAACCGTGCACTCTCTAAAGTGTGGGGTGGGGTTGTCAGAATTTTGATTTTTGTGGCATGTATTTAATTACTAGTGATACATTTTGTCATGATCACACTCAAGGCCATTGTAATTGTATAATTATAGTTAGCTTTTTATTGGCGTAATCCCGGATTTTATTTAAACTACGGTTCTTTCCCGAGGATGTCATTTTCTTGAACCGGGTAGTGTTAGGTAGTTTTTTCTTTCTCAAACTTTGTAAAAGAATTTATGGACTTTGCCTGACGATGGATTGCCTAGCCAGATTTCTTGAGGGTTTAAAGTCTAAAGAAAAAAATATAAAAAGATTTTTTTTCTTTTCCTTTGTTTGTTTTGAACTAATAATGGAATGTGAAGAGATTGAGTATTGTGCTTCATGACATATTTTATATCGGGGCTTAGACCTGGAGCATTTGTGCTTAGTAGTTTCCTCGTAATTCTTGTGAGTATGTGCCTTGAGAATATATGTGACTTTACTCTGACTCTTGGACTCATCTTTTGACTCTTCTTATGTACTTCCTATATGGTTTAGTTTTATGATGACTATGCTTAGCAGCTTTAACTTGAGAGTCGGGTCTGAGCCGTCTTGAGTAGGTCATATGCATTATGTGAGGTGAGAAGTTTGAGTTGTACTCTGTGCCATCCCTGTCTAGTTTAGAACTTGCCCCGTGTGTGAGTCGAAATGAAATGATTAAGTATCCAGGACTGGGAGATGATATAGGCATTTCTTTGATTGACCATGAAGTCACTTGTCCACCAGTGCTAATATTACCCATAGTCAGCCCTTTTGAGAATGTAGACCTTTTTCTTGGCACCCACATTACAAGCTAAATTCTCCTTTGTTCGTAATCAAATCTTGTTCACCCTTTACCTCCGAAAGCACTTAAGTCATTATAAGAGTAAAGAGAGAGACCAAATAGCTTTTGAGTGGAACCATAGGAAGGCTGAGAAGGTGCGTTATATTTAAATGAATTACTAACCGAAAATACCAAAATTAAGGGGTGTAGATTTTTTAAAAAAATATATATATATATATATATATAGATTTTGAAGTACACCTCCCATGTATTGATCCGTGCAAGTGAGCACCTACGTGATGATATGATTAAAGAAGAAGGGCATAATCGTGTATGGGTTCGTGGCATGACATTGACTTGGTCGTGATGAGAAGGTGTTTGAAAGTGAAGTGTAGTGTATTAAAGTGCTAAGGAGGGATAGTCACTATTTTTTTTAAATATATCCTACCCGTTCCTTAGCCTACATTACAACCTATGAAGTCCTACTTGATCAGAGTCTGTGCGAACTTAAATTAGTAAAGTCTTATACTACGGGCAAGCCTATGGTACGAACTTGGGTGGCATATCAGTTATTTTTGCCAGAGTGAGCGAATTCTTTCGATTGGAGAGTCCTTAAAATATACATAAACTTATGTTTGAGTGTGTGGATTACTTTTTCTCTTTGGTTTGTTGGTGAGGGCACATGATTTGTAAAGGATTGGTAAAGTCTTTGGCTTTTGAGTTGACACAAGAAGTGAGTCTTAGTTTTGGATGTATTGGAGTTAAATTTTGAGGCTAGGATGTTAGAGAGAGTCACACAATTATTTTAATTAGTCTGGGCATGACGTAAAGCTTGAGGAAAGTATGAATAGTGCTTATGCTAGGTTCTAAGCGATGGTATAAACCATTGTCATTGGAGTGAGGCTTGAGTAGGTTTGGAAATTTGTTTCTTGCCAATGTGCTTAATTTTATTCGCTCGAGGACGAGCAAAAGTCTAAGTGTGAGGTAGTGATAAATGGCCAAAAGTGCATGATTTTGAGTGTATTTACATCGCATTTGTCGTGTGAGTTGCGGGAGATTACATGATCTTTGAAGTGAATTATACTTATTACATATTTCTTATTTGTAGGAGTGAGCTTGGCCGATAATGGATCAAAAGATATCTAATTATTGCAAAAAGGAGAAAAATGGATTGGGAGCTCGTCTATTCTCGTGCGTGGCATGAAAACGGACGCGCAAAAAGGAGAAAAGTGAAGGCACAAAACAAGGAAGTGAAGCAAAGGCACAGACCGCTTCATGAAATGAAAGAATTTCAAAAGCTGAATCTGGGTCCATAGGCGTGCGACGCGCGGAGACAGACGCGGATTCCAGGTTCTCCCATCCGAAGTTGGATTGAAAAGTTTCGCCCCTCATCAACCCTAAGTAATATAAATACATCAAAGAACGACTTTTTAAGGGTTACACAATATCTTTGAAGGCAAGAACAAGCAAAGAGTAAGGCGGAAGATTTGGAAACGAGTTTTTATCTTTCTTCTTCCTTTTTCTATTATTGATGATGAATTCTTATACTGTAGTTGTGAAATAATTATGAGTAGCTAAACTCTTTATTCTAGGGTTTGATGGAATCTCTTAGAGGATGAATTTTTGTTGCGTTTAATATAAGTTTGCCATTGGATTTTTTCTACTTGTTCAACTACGTGATTATTGTGGTTGATTGAAGGGCCCTCGATTGACTGTGCTTATTTAGTGCGTATTACTTGAAAAAAGGTACATATTTAGGTAGTTGTTGAACAACATCACTCCTAACGTATATGTGGGATCAATACAGAGGGTTTAAAGGTGGGATTAGGAATAACGAAACTTTGGTGCGATCTTAGTGAACGGTAAACTAGTGTCAGCTAGCGTAGTTCGAAATAATACGTCTAATAAATTATTGTATTTGCTCGGAAGAGAATTACGACTTCTAAAGTGCTCACGATCGGTAGAGAATATCTAAGCAAATTTATAGGAGACGTGGCAGGGAGGATTCCGACGAGAGGAGAAATCGTGACCCGAGACCTTTCCAATCTTGTCTACAATATTTGCTTCGTTAGTAATAAAATTACAGCTTTTTAA